CTTCAACTCCCAGAATTCCCCAGCCAGCTGGCTGGGGAATTCTGGGAGTTGAAATCCACCCATCTTAAAATTTGCCACGGTTGAGAAACACCGGATGCAGCCCTCATTTCAAAGACTGAAACAGATCTTGTTCTTTCCACCAAGCCAGAATAGTTGCCCCTGTTAAGATAAAGTGTCTCTTGAGTCAAGTTCAACTCCTGCTAAGCATATATTGCTTTTTTGGAAACAGTGTGTGTGTTTTTTCAGTGTGTTCTTTAGGATTGGCTTTTGGAGTTCCTAGTGTAACCTACAGCCAAGATCACCCAGTGGTCTCCCATCCAAGCACTAACAAGATCCTTCCTGACATAGCTTTTTCAAGAACAGCCAAGATTAGCTAACTTGCCTCCTGCTGATTACCCCCTAGTGTTCATCTGTTTAAAAAAAAAAAACGACGGGGAAGCCTAGATACACAAAGCAGGCAAGCTAAAATCGATCTCTTCTGCAAATAGTCAAAGAAGTATGTATACGGTGTCCACCTCCCCACACAGACACACAAAGAGGGTTGGAAACAGGTTGTCCACAACAGGGGAGGTAAAAAAAAGTCAGATCTTTGCATGCACTACGCCCATAATGGGCAGGGCTTCAATCACATGGTCACCCGCCACCTTGACTTTTTTGACCCCCTTGCAGTCTGCTCCTGGTTGGAAATCTAGTAAGACTGTGAAATAGTTTTTTAGAAAACTGGCCAAATGCAAGCGACATTGGTAGATACATTATTTCTTTAGCGTGCATCTATTGTACAGTAATCCTGCATTAGCGACAGGTGTGAAAGTTAAAATTCTTAAACAACGTCCGTTTCAGATATTAAATTCAGGTTTAATCCACACAGAGCGCTAATATACCCCACGTCAGTCTCCAGTTTGCCACCTGACCAACTCCAGAATAAGAAACATTTTTAAGATTTAACATATATTACATGTCAGCACATAAAACTACTTTATTAGGCGGTAGTCTATTACATTTATTAAATGTATTTATATACTGATTTGCTTTTCTAAGCAAGGCATTCCTATCCTTCGTGGGGACCGTCCAGACGAAGCTGCACTGAAACTAACTAATGAGATTTAAGTTTATTATTATAAGTAATTGCCTCAGTGGTATTTCTCATGAGTAACTCAGTTAATAAACAAAATAGCCATTTTGAAATAGCATGAAAAAAACAAACAAATCTTGATTTCAACAGCATTTCCGATCATTCAAAGTCTGAATTAAAGGGGTTTCAATTAAATTTAATTAAAGTTTGAATTAAAGTTCTTCTCTGCAACTGGAGTGTACCTCCAACCAGGCCCAAAAAAACTGAGCAGGAGGTTAAGATATTAACTTTTAAAGGGGCACTACATTTTAAACTCAAACAAGGAACAGTTATTTAATAATACGTAACTGATCTATTCTTATTAAGTCAATTAGTTATTAACAGAACTGGCAGCAAGTCTCAGTGGATTCACACAACCCATTCATCCAGTGTTTCTCAACCTTGGCAACTTTGAGATGGGTGGACTTCAACTCCCAGAATTCTGGGGAATTCTGGGAGTTGAAGTCCACCCATCTCAAAGTTGCCAAGGTTGAGAAACACTGCGACTGCCCCTAAACTTTGATTTTAAAAAGACAGTTGTTCTGTCCTCATAACATGCTAAACTCTGTGATGGCTTTAACCCAATGGCCAGGTTCACCCACGCCAGAAAGGTTGCATTCCCACAACATGCTAGCTGCCCTCAACCCCATTTGAGCTTTAGTTCATAGCATCTTATGGAAACCCCGTCTTTCCGTGAGCAACAAGCCATGGGAAAACGTTGCCCTTGGGTGCCTGGGTGTGTGCATGTGAGTGTGCGCAGTGGATCTCTTCTTCCTTTGCACACTTGCATCTATGACAGAGGGAGAAGCAGAAGATTCCTAGGGCAGGTCACCTTCTGTTGTCTCTAGGTAACATGACAGCTGCTGAACTAGCCCTGATGGTTGGGGAGGTCAACTCAAAGGATCCTTTTTAGCTCTTATTTCAGGAGACAACCTGTACCTGTCCAAATTCCGCCTTTGCTATAAACCAAGGTGTGTTTTGCTGATTGCCAAAAGATTGTTACCTAGACTGAAGGAACCTTGGAGTGGGGGAAGCCCTCTTCTTGGGGGGCACCCAAAGAGAGGTCTGTGGGTGAGCAATACCCAGGGGCACCCACGTGTCTGCTCTAAAGCTTTTTCTCAGGGCACGTGGAAGAGCGGCTGCAGAAGAAACGGACCAAAATGTGGGATCCCCCACTCCAGTTTTAATAGTATTATTGTAATTTCTTCGTTTGATTGTGGTGAGCCATCCAGAGCCGCTGGAAATCGGCCAGCATACAAGTTTAAATCATCATCATCGTCGTTGTCATCACCATCATAGCAACCACAATCAAAACTGGCTCGCAAGAGCTCTGGATTTAACCAACAGAGATCTTGTTTCAAAACAACCTTTGGCCCATGATCTGTTTTAATCGATGAAGAGTTTTCTTATCAGGTAGCCAAAGGCATTCATCAGCTAAGCACTGCAAATGTACTAAAACTGGATAGAGTAGAAACGAAACCCCGCAAATCCCCCAAACCATCTACTGTTTAAAAGGACTGAAATTACATTGCAGAAAAGGAAAACACACTAACATTGTGGGCGTAAGAGCAGAATGTCACATTTCAGTGGTCATCAAACTCCAGTAGATTGGAGGAGGGTTTCTCCACCTTGGCAGCTTTAAGCTGGGTGGACTTCAACTCCCAGAATTCCCCAACCAGCATGCTTTAAGCTGGGTGGACTTCAACTCCCAGAATTCCCCAGCCAGCATGGTTTAAGCTGGGTGGACTTCAACTCCCAGAATTCCCCAGCCAGCATGGTTT